CTAATAGAAGAATTAGAAAACTCGTTTGGTTTGAATCATTCAGTCAACCAGAGCATTGTAGTAAACAATGTTCGTGACCTCAACGAAACAACGCAAGCGAAAAGAAGTGCCGAGAACAAGGTCGGAAGAAAATTAGGCGATGTGGGTACTGCAACGGTGAGGGGCATAACAAACTAACATGTCCTCAAGTCAAGCTCAGTTTGAGTACAAGCACACAGCCTACATCAACTGATTTTTTTCGAAGACGGAATGGAATGACAACGATCTCCATATAATATATCGTAAGTATCAACATGACTCCTATTGTATACATATAAATATTTTGAATGAAGGAAGAAAAACCGCGTTACTTAAAATTACCGACACTTTTTTAAATGGTATCGACACATTTTTCTTCCAATCTGGACATAAACCGACACAATATTATAAAGTGTCGATATATGTTGTAGACCTATTCGCGCATAAAACCGGTATATATACCGGTTATATTACAAAATTATCTATTACATTATAAATCTGGGTTCCGATGTGTAAATGTCGATACTTTTTAAATCGTATCGACACTTTTTCTTCCAATATGGACATAAGTACCGACACAATATTAAAAGTGTCGATATAGGTTGTAGACCTATTCGCGCATAAAACCGGTATATTTATACCGGTTATATTACTAAATTATCTATTACATTATATTATGGGTTCCGATGTGTAAATGTCGACACTTTTTTAAATCGTATCGACACATTTTTCTTCCAATATGGACATAAGTACCGACACAATATTAAAAGTGTCGATATAGGTTGTAGACCTATTCGCGCATAAAACCGGTATATTTATATCGGTTATATTACTAAATTATCTCTTACATTATAATTATGGGTTCCGATGTGTAAATGTCGACACTTTTTTAAATCGTATCGACACATTTTTCTTCCAATATGGACATAAAGTACCGACACAATATTAAAAAGTGTCGATATAGGTTGTAGACCTATTCGCGCATAAAACCGGTATTTATACCGGTTATATTGCAAATTTACCTATTTTATTATAATATGTTGAAAGTGTCCATACTTTTTATAAAAAGGATCGATACTTTTTTTAAAGATATGTAATTTATGTTTCAATATTTTTTAAGTATGTTTCATGTTTTCCACCTACAATATTAATTTAATAATTTCATTTGCACAAAAAATTAGTTGATTGTTTTGATATTTTATAAAATAATATTAAGAATTTTTAATTTAATAATAATATATACCGTAACGTAAAATAAATCATTAGACGCCTATAATTACTAAATTAATATCTTAAAACTCACTCAAAAGAGCTTCATATATTCCTTGTTCGTTGACGTATCACCCGTTGGACAAAGAAATATCCCGACAAGGTACAATAGAACTCGGGCCTTCAGCTCATCCCCCCAGTAAGATCCACTTTTGATATCCTCTTCAACTTCAGCATATGTCACCTTATGATTCAAACCATATTTGGAGGCAAGTGCTTTCCAGTTCTTACTCCTACAGACTTCTATAACACTTTTGCCTTTGTTTTGTACCCCCAATACGGCTGCAGCAGTCGATACCCCCAGAGGGAATGAATAATCACCATACTTAGCCATACATTGACTGACGTCAAATTGTGCCATCAAGGATCGACACAATTCCCTCTGAATAGGTCGATCCCTTACTCCGATCAACGATCCAAAACCTATTTCTCCCAGCACATTCAACTGATCCTTCTCCTTAAGGTGTTTAATTAATAAATTCACCCTTTTAATGCTGCATCTTGTCGACACTTCCTACATTTTTTTAACAATATATAATGTTATAGTTCTTATATATTTTGTATCAACGTATTTACAAGTTTAATGAATACCTTATTTTCATGTGCTTTCCTCCGTTCTTTGTACTCTTTACTATCATTCCTTGACTGTGTGATGTAAGGTTCCTTTTCAGCATCACTCATTGATTCCATTTGGACCTCACATCTTTTTCACCTAATATTAAACATAAACGTTTCTTAATCAATACATTAACACTAAATACTAATACTACTCAATGTCAATTTCATTTTACATACCGAACCGCTCTGTGTGCCATCTCCCTTCATCCTTTTGCATTCGACCATACTGTTAACATTTAAAATTTGTAATCAATTTAAAGTTTATCGATACTTTAATCCAATTACCATTTCAACAATAATAACAAAAGGACATTGATACTTACTAGAAGTACATATATCCACCCTTTGGTTGCTTTCGAGTCTCGGCCTCAATTTCAAAGTCATCTGCTCCACCAATAATTTTCCAACCCATTGACTCCATTTTTCCTTCATATATCAGTTTACGCAAATCAAATTATTTCGTTACATACACTTTATTCAATATACAAATATAGATAACTACTCTTGTGGTAAAACGGTTTTCTTCAAAAGAATTTGAATGGCCACACCAAAATGTGTCGGCACATTTATACAACCTATAATATCATTTTCTACCTATAATATTTAATAAAAGTATCGACATTTATATTTTTCCTTGAATATCTATTTCTACCTGCAATCGGTCACAAATGCTTCCTTACTCCAAAACCCCAAACAACACATAAAAAAACCCTATCGCGATTACTGTAATAATAAAAAATTAGGGTTTCGACAACATACTTTTCGATTCGACTGCAGCAACAAACAAACAAACTTCGCTTTAGAAACGCCTTCTGAAATGCAGCAACAATTACTCTTCGATTTCAAAAACTCGTCCGTTCTATCTTTTTTCAGAGGATATTTAGCTATGGCATTTATATTTTCATCGGATATGTTATTTATATTTAATCGATACAAATACAAAAGTGTCGATACTTTTATGTCATGTGTCGATACTTTCGAAAGGATAATTACCTATTTCTTTGAAAGTGTCGATAATTTATTACACGTACTTACGAAAGTATCGACACTTTAAATATATCCGGTATCATTTTACCGGTTTTATCATTTTGATACCGGTTTTATCATATTTTTACCTGTTATATCGTTGTGGATCGATATTTTTTTAAAGTATCGACACATTATAGGCGCTATAACTGCTTCTCTTTTAAATTCACAAAGTGTCGATCCTTATATAACGTATCGACACTTTTAAATTTACCGGTTTTATCATTTTGTTACCGGTTTTATCATATTTTTACCTGGTATATCGTTTTGGATCGATATTTTTTAAAAGTATCGACACTTTTTAGGATTTAAAACTGCTTTTAAAGTTATGTAATTTATGTTTCAATTTATTTAATAGTGTTTCATGTTTTCCACCTACAATATTAATTTAATAATTTAATTTACACAAAATTTTATTTGATTGTTTTGATATTTTATAAAATATTATTTAGAATTTAAATTAACAATATTAACCAAATATAATAATAAATATGTTTTCAACAGTGAAATAAGTATGGACACTTTTATAAAAATGATATACTTTTTTGAAAGTTATGTAATTTATGTTTCAATTTTTTTAATAGTGTTTCATGTTTTCCACCTACAATATTAATTTAATAATTTCATTTACACAAAAATTATTTGATTGTTTTGATATTTTATAAAATATTATTTAGATTTTAAATTTAACAATATTAACTAAAGATAATAATAAATATATTTCACAGTGAAATAAGTATGGACACTTTTATAAAAAGGATAGATAATTTACAATATAACAGGTAAAATATGACAAAACCAGATTCATTATGACAAAACCGGTAAAATTTACTTGATATGTTAAAAGTATGGACACTTTTATAAAAAGGATAGATACTTACCGATAACCAAAGTTTACCGGTTACCAAATTTTTTAATAGTTTTTCATATTTTCTACCTAAAACATTATTAGTTGTCAACATAATAGTACCGCTAAACCGAATTTATTAAATACATTTTAATGTATCCGGTAATGCTGTATATTAGTCGTATATTAACCCGCCTTTCCTGAGACAATCCCCATTTAATATTACTATCTAAAATTACCTATTGAAAATTCAAAATTTTAACAAGACTACTACTTTCATTCATATAGCTTCTCCAAGACTCCAACTGAATAAAATTACCACTCTATTATTTCATAAAGTAATACTATTACTTAAAAGAATTACAATTATTTCCCAAATGTAATATATAAGCACATATATAAAATATACATTTTTTTCACCGTTACATTTGGCCGATGGGAGCTGTGTTTTTAAATATTTGAATTTAATAAAAAAAACATTTTTATATTTGCATAACATTGTTATATTTGCATGCCAAGTACATTTGAATCAAAATAATTAGGTGAATCATATTATTTTATTAATCTAAAATAAATAAAAGATAATATCTATTTAAAAATATATTTCAATTATTTGACTTAAACGTTCACACCTTCTGATATATTAGAGTTAGTACTCAGGCCTCAGATACACAGAATAATAAATTCAAATCAGCCGTGAAAATAAATCTTAATTTAACAATTAAGAATCATAAAACATAGGCACTTACAGTTAAATTACTGAATGAGATTTCATGATTTATGAATTAAGATTTCATAATCATATAAACTTGCAGTTAATATGGAAACTTATTATTAGTATTTTGACAAAAAAAAATGGGAACTTGTTCTTATCATCCTACGGAACCGTGGAAATATATCTGGGAATAATCAAACTGATCAAGCACATCCCCGAAAGGTATGATATCAACCTTAGCTGTCCACAACAGGTTTATTGGTAACTTCGGAAGAAAAGAAATATTAAATTAAATCCAACAATTTAATTAAATTTCTCCACAAGGTTTTTCTCACACCGCGTCTCAGCCGTGTGTGTCACTATTCAATGGCTTGGAGTAATTTTCTACGTTTATAAATTACTCTAACTCAAATTGTTGTTCTAACCTCTTCAGTTTCCAAGACAAGTGTTTGAAGCAATGGCCAGCACTACTGCACAAGAAGAAGCCACATTCGAGTTGACGTTCCTATGTCCGACGACCAACACGACGGCAGCATCCGTTCAAGGCTGCGTAAACAGCACGGTTCAAAGGATCTCATCTCCGTCAAAGCCGCACTCAACGGTAGCCAGGGTTCCGACTCCAAGGTCTCATGCTTTCTCTATGCTTACAGTTTCAGTTCCAATATTCGAAAACTACCACTTCCACAAATGGTATATATGTTGGAAATAAAACACTCACACAAACAACTTTTATTGAAACTCAAACAAATATTACAAGAGTACTCTCACTCAAAAACAAAACTACAACTCACTCTTATAAGACTTTGCTTCTTCACTCACTTAGAAGCTTTTAATTTTTCTTGATGCTTAAAACTAAAATGGGAAGGGGTATTTATACTACTCAAGAACAATCCTACACACACAAATAAACTAATTTAAACCATTACAATTCAACAAATATCTAACTCTCACCTAACTAAATTGATGTAAGCAATGACATCATTAATTAAATGATGTAAGCAATGACATCTTTAATTAAATGATGTAAGTAATGACATCAATTTAGTTTGGGTTTGGGTTTAGGCTCCATAATGGATCAAGTTTATGATCCAACACCCTCCCTTAAACTTGATCTCGTGACCCCTAGTAGGTTCCTTAATCTTAAGAAGTCTTCGCTGGTCAGTGGCTTGGTAAAATATCAGCAACTTGATCTTGTGACTTCACATATTCAACTTCCACATCTTTTCTTGCAACACACTCCCTTATATAGTGGTAGCGAATATCAATGTGCTTGCTTCGATCATGGAATACTGGATTCTTCGCTAAGGCAATGGTTGACTTGTTGTCGACACAAACCTTGGTAGGCTCTTCTTGTATCAAACCAATCTCCTTCAATAGATTTCTAAGCCAAATTGCATGACAAACACATGAGGTAGCAGCAACATATTCCGCTTCACAAGTGGATAATGTGACAATCAGTTGTTTCTTTGACATCCATGTGAATGCAATATCTCCCATGAAAAATACGAATCCAGTAGTGCTCCTTCGATTATCTATGTCTCCACCCCAATCACTGTCGCTATATCCAACAAGCTTGTAATCATTAGAAACTGAATAGAACAAGCCAAAGTCAATTGTACCTTTCAGATAGCGAAGAATTCTCTTTGCGGCTTTAAAATGGGTGGTTGTTGGGGATTCCATGTAGCGACTAACCAATCCAACTGCGTGAAGAATATCGGGTCTCGTGCAAGTTAGATAGCGTAGACTTCCTACCAAACTTTTGAAGAATGTTGGATCTACACTTTTGCCTTCTTCATGTTTGGTCATCTTGATCCCGTATTCTGCCGGTGTGCTTATTGGCTTACAGTTCTCCATCTTGAACTTCTTCAGTATCTCCTTTGCATAGCTTTCCTGTGAAATGAAAATTCCATCATTTTGTTGCTTAACTTCAATGCCAAGGTAGTACGCCATGAGCCCCATGTCTGTCATCTCGAATTCTTTCATCATCACATCCTTGAATTCATTAAACATGCTTGGGTTGCTTCCAGTGAAGATCAAATCGTCCACGTAGAGGCACACGATCAAAATATCTTCATCTTTGATCTTGATATATAGAGCATGCTTGTAGGGACATTTGTTGAAGCCATTCTCTTGGAAGTACTTGTCGATTCGGCTATTCCATGCCCTTGGTGCTTGTTTTAGCCCGTAAAGAGCCTTCTTCAACTTCAACACCTTGTCTTCATGCCCTTTGACTTCATAGCCTGATGGTTGCTGAATGTAAAGTTCCTCTTCAAGAACTCCATTTAGGAAGGCGGACTTTACATCCATCTGTTGTATCTTCCACTTGTTTTGAGCTGCCAAAGAAATGATTAGTCTGATAGTCTCCAATCGAGCAACAGGAGAAAATACCTCATCATAGTCAATTCCAGCCTTTTGACTATAGCCTTTAGCAACTAGCCTCGCCTTGTGCCTTTCAATCTCTCCTTTGGCGTTTTGCTTTGTTTTGTACACCCATTTGACACCTATCGCCTTATGTCCCTTGGGAAGTGAGGTAAGTTCCCATGTGTCATTCTTCTCGATGGCCTTGATTTCTTCGTCCATCGCATCTCTACATTTCTTTTCTTGTACCGCTTCTTGAAAGCTCACTGGTTCACAATCGGCAAATAGACAAAATAATGTAAGATTATCTTGTCGTTCAGTTACCTCATAGAGATCTCTAAGGCTTCTTGTGCGTTGCACAACTCTTTCACTTTGACTCCCACTTGACGATGATGAAGGTGATGAGTCTCCTTGAGTGGTTGATGTTGGTGAAGTGGGTGGAGTTGCAAGCTCTTGTTGAGATTCATCTAGTTGCTCCCTCATTGTCTGCTCATCTTCTTCAAACTGAGGAAAGAAATTGAAGTCATCTGTATGAGAGTTAAAATCCCATTCTCCTTCTTCGTTGAAGACCACATCTCGACTAATCACAAACTTCTTATTGTCTGGATTGTACAACTTGTAGCCCTTCGAATTAGCATCATAGCCGATGAAGATAAAACTCTCGCTTTTATCATCAAGCTTCGTTCTTCTCTCGTCTGGTACGTGAACATGGGCTATACTTCCAAAGGTTCTCAAGTGGGAAATGCCAGGCTTTCTTCCACTCCATGCCTCTTGCGGTGTCTTTCCCCATACACTTCTTGTTGGAGATCGATTTGACAAGTAGACTGCACACGATACTGCTTCCGCCCAAAATTCTTTGGGTAGTTTCTTGCTTTTGAGCATGCTTCGTGCCATGTCGAGGATTGTTCTATTCTTTCTTTCTGCCACACCATTTTGCTGGGGGGATCTAGGAACTGTCATTGGTCGACGAATTCCATTTGCTTCACAGAACTCTTGAAACTCCCTGGAAGTAAATTCTCCACCTCGATCGGATCTCATGGCTTTGATCTTTCTACCGCTTTCTCTCTCCACTGCTGCTTTGAACTTCTTGAAGACTTCAAAACTTCTGACTTCTGTTTCAAGAAATATACCCAGGTTTTTCTTGAAAAATCATCAATGAAGAGAAGAAAATAGTTATTGTTACCGAGAGAGCTTGGCTTGATCGGTCCACACACATCGGTATGGATGAGCTCAAGTGGCTTCTTAGCTCTTGTCTCTGACTCCTTTGGAAAGCTTTTCCTGAATTGTTTCCCGACTAGACACCCTTCACAGAGTTGGTCAGGATGGTTGATGTGAGGTAGTCCTTTCACCATCTCCTTCTTAAATAATAGCTCTAGACCTCCAAAATTGAGATGCCCAAATCGAAGATGCCAAAGCCATGATGCATCTTTGTAGCAAGCTTTCAGGCACTTTGCAACATCATTTTGTATGTTGATCAAGAACATTATATTCTTTGACATCGGCACTTTAGCAATGAAGTTATTCTTATCATCTTTTATAGAAAGATTATAATTATTCATATGAATATCATAACCTTTCTCTACCAGTTGCCCTAAACTTAAAATGTTACTTTTCATATTGGGCACATAGTAGACATTTGAAATAAATTGATGTCTCCCATCTTTCAAACGGATAAGAATGTTACCTCTCCCTTTCACTGCTATTGTGGAATCATCTCCAAACGAAACATTTCCACTTACTGACTCGTCTAGCTCCACAAACATGTCTTTCCTACCACACATGTGATTGCTTGCACCACTGTCAAGATACCAGGAATTTGCTTGGCCACCATCAGTTTCCTTTCGTGCTAGAAGAAGAGTTTCTTTGCCATCTGTCTTTTCCTCCACGTAATTGACCTTCTCCTCAATTTTGTTGTTGGGAGCTCTACATTCTGAAGCATAATGCCCAAATTTTTGACAATTATAACATCGAATTTGAGATTTGTCATACTTTGAGTTTGGATTAATTCTTCCACGGCCTCGTGTTGAGCTTTCTCCTTTCTCATAGTTGTTGTTGGAATTGTTATTGTTGTAATTCCAGCCTCGTCCACGACCTCGACTTCCACCTCGTCCATGGCCTCTACCTCTGCCTTGGCCACATTGGTTTCTATCATTGCGTTGGCTCTCATGCATATCCTTGAGTTGCAGCTTGAGGAGTTGCTCAGTAAACTCATGCTTCTTTTATGCTTCTCTTCGTATGCTTGCAATGATCCTTGGAGCTGTTCGATCTTCATTTCTTCCAAGTCTTTAGTTTCTTCAATCGTCACGACGATGTGCTCAAATTTGGGATCCAACGAACGGAGTATCTTCTCTATTATCCTCACATCGTCTAACTTTTCACCATTTCTTTTTAATTGATTAGAAACAGCTACTACTCTTGAGAAATAATCTGAAATAGACTCAGATGCTTTCATGTTTAAGGATTCGAATTCACCTCTTAATGTTTGGAGACGAACCTTCTTCACTTGCTCGGATCCTTTGTAAGAGGTTTGCAGCTTCTCCCACGCTTCCTTGCTAGAGCTTGCACTTGAAATCTTTTCAAAACCATCATCATCTAATGCTTGATAGATGAGGTAGAGAGCCTTCTTGTCTCTCTTTCTTGAATCCTTCAAAGTTGTCTTTTGATCTGGTGTAAGAGTAGCAAAAACATCATCATCCGCAGGCTCATTATAGCCTTTCTCTATGATATCCCACACATCTTGTGATCCAAGAAGTGCCTTCATTTTGATACTCCAATTGTCGTAGTTGTTGTTGAGTGTCGGAACTTGGAATGGTGCCATACCATTTGCCATATCTCTCAATATAATGAGATTTTGTAAAATCCGATTACACGGATGAATCCGGAACGATGAAAAAAAAACTTTGGAGGGACTTGGACAACTCGGTCAAGGGCTCCAACTCGGCTGAATCGGCTCAACTCGGTGAGTCAACTCGATTTTCTGGCAGCAGTCTTCCAGCGGTGCGTGGCGGTGCGTCAGAACTCAGATTGAGAAAATTCTGGCGGCGTCGTATTCCTCTCGTTGAGACCTTCGATCTTTCCAACTCTCTCTGATGCCACTTTGTTGGAAATAAAACACTCACACAAACAACTTTTATTGAAACTCAAACAAATATTACAAGAGTACTCTCACTCAAAAACAAGAACTACAACTCACTCTTATAAGACTTTGCTTCTTCACTCACTTAGAAGCTTTTAATTTTTCTTGATGCTTAAAACTAAAATGGGAAGGGGTATTTATACTACTCAAGAACAATCCTACACCACACAAATAAACTAATTTAAACCATTACAAATTCAACAAATATCTAACTCTCACCTAACTAAATTGATGTAAGCAATGACATCATTAATTAAATGATGTAAGCAATGACATCTTTAATTAAATGATGTAAGTAATGACATCAATTTAGTTTGGGTTTGGGTTTAGGCTCCCATAATGGATCAAGTTTATGATCCAACAATATAATGATATGTTTGTGTTGGAATATTGAAGGATTCGAATTGGTGGGTGGTGTTGAATCTGGCGTTTCAGAGCATTGGCGTCGTTTACGGTGATATCGGAACATCACCGCTCTACACTTACGCGAGCACTTTCAGCGAAGGAATAAAGCACAGAGACGACGTGTTGGGGGTTCTTTCTTTGGTGTTTTATACTCTCACCCTCCTTCCTCTTATTAAGTATGTCTTCGTCGTCTTACGAGCAACCGATAATGGCGAAGGTACGTTCTTTTTTAATGCCAAAATATATATAACTTACATGATCTTGATGCGCTTTATCTACGCGTAAATCAAAATTAGGAGGAACGTTCGCACTCTACTCACTGATTTGCCGATACGCGAGAGTGAGTTTGATCCCGAGTCAACAAGCTGAAGACCGTCAAGTATCGAATTATAGACTAGAATTGCCTAGCAAGCGTCTGAAACTAGCGTCGGTACTCAAGTCTAGCTTAGAGAATAGCCAATTTGCTAAAATTTTCTTATTGTTTATCACCATGCTCGGTACTTCCATGGTCATTGGCGACAGCGTCCTCACTCCTTCAATCTCTGGTAATTACTCACTAATCACTCTCTTTTGATCTCTTTTCTTTATACTAATCAATCTTCTAAATAATGTAGTTTTATCTGCCGTTGGTGGTGTCAAGGAAGCAACATCTCACTTGACAGAAGGTAATATATATATATAATAATCAATGTATGAACTTTTAGATGAATTTTGTTGTAAATGTATGAACTTTTGAATGAAGTTTGGTGTAATAAACAGATATGATTGCTGGGATTTCGATAGTGATATTGGTGTTTCTCTTCATGATTCAAAGATTTGGAACTTCCAAAGTCGGTTATGGCTTTGCTCCCATTCTTTACGTTTGGTTTATACTCATCGGTGGAATCGGTTTCTACAACATCGTGAAACATGATACCACAGTGCTTAAAGCCATCAATCCAATGTACATTGTTGATTACTTCATCAGGAACAAAAAGGAAGCTTGGGTTTCTCTTGGTGGAGTTGTTCTCTGCACAACAGGTTCGTTGAGGCTTCCACCGGCATTGTTCTTTGTTGCATTGGGAAAAAAAAGCTTACAGATTTTTCTTTCAGGAGGAGAAGCACTGTTTGCTGATGTTGACCATTTCTCGGTTCGATCCATTCAACTTAGTATGTGCTCCCTGGTGTACCCGGCTTTGATTCTGGCCTACACGGGACAATCCGCCTACCTTCTCCGACATCCCGATGCGGTTTCCGATGCGTTTTTCAAAGCTATTCCAGGTCATGAATCATGTCCATGGACATGAAAATTGAATGTCTTTTTTTTCCCCACTGCTCTTCTTATGATGATCATATACGCAGGTCCTATGTTTTGGCCAATGTTCATAGTGTCCATAGTGGCTGCAGTTATAGCAAGCCAAGCAATGATTTCAGGTACTTTCTCGATTGTCCATCAATCACTTTCCCTCGGCTGTTTCCCTCGAGTCAAAGTTGTCCACACATCTGCAAATCATGAAGGACAAGTTTATATACCAGAAGTTAATTACTTTCTGATGTTTGCTTGTGTTGCTGTCACCTTTGGTTTCAAGACCACAGTAAAAATCGGCAACGCTTATGGTAAATAATTTGGTTCTTCATTTCGACTCTTCTAATCTCTTCTCAACTACCAAATGTTGATTGATTTCCATTTTTACAGGAATTGCTGTTGTGTTTGTAATGACACTCACATCATCATTGCTGGTTCTCATCATGATTATGATATGGAAAACCAACATATTTTTGGTAATCCTCTATGTTGTTACCATTGGATTTGTGGAGCTGCTGTATCTGAGTTCGGTTCTCTATAAATTCTCCTTTGGCGGGTACTTGCCGCTGGCGTTTTCGGCGTTTCTGATGACTGTCATGTATGTTTGGAACAATGTATATAGAAGGAAGTACTTTTATGAGCTTAACCACAAGATTCCCTTGGCAAGATTAAAGGACATCTCCGCCAACAAGAAAATGGCTAGGATTCCTGGACTTGCTATGTTCTATTCGGAGCTGGTTCATGGTATCCCTCCCATATTCGAGCACTATGTTTCGCATGTACCGGCATTGCATTCGGTCATCGTCTTTGTTTCCATGAAGTCACTCCACATTAACAAGGTCACGGAAGAAGAGAGATACTTTTTCCAAAGAGTCGAACCGAGAGAACTCTGCGCCTTCCGGTGTGTGGTTCGATATGGATACAAGGATGTTAAGGAGGAGGCCTTCGAGGAAACGTTGTTCACAAGACTGAAACAGTTCATACAAGAAGAAACTTTGCTGCAACTCCATACGGTATCAGCCAACAAGAACATGGTCGAACGGGGAAGTGAATCCTACAGGGAGATCGCCGAACCAGATGACGAGATTGAGAATGCGGATCAAACCAAAGCAGACAATCTTCAACAGATTATGAGACAAGAAATTGAACAAGTGGAGAATGCATGGGAAGAAGCCGGCATGGTTCACTTGATAGGTCAGAGTGAGGTGATTGCAAGCGAAGAAGCGGGCATAATGAAGAGGATTCTCATCGATTATGCTTACAATTTGCTGAAGAGAAACCTGAGGCAAAGCGAGACGGTGTTTAATATTCCACACAAGCGAATGCTTAAAGTCGGCATGACTTACGAACTTTAAAACATCTTCATATATGTAGAATAATGATATTTGGGTACCATTGAATAGTAATCATATATGCATGCAAAATTCATGTATATGCTGTTGATTGCCAAACAGAATACCTGTAGAAATATAAGAATTAGCCTAGTATAATTTAAATATTTTGTTTATATTTTTTATTAATAATTTATTTCGTCCTCTTGACTTTTATAAATTCTTTCAAAATTATGTATCATCCCTTTTTATATTACTCATCAGCACACCTGGAGAGGATTTAAGCCCACAAAAAGCATCAGTATTGTAAACAGACATACCATATGATCTTGCTTGTTTATCATCAAGCTACTTACGAATCTTTTCAAGAGCGTTGAGCCTCAGTGGTAGGGATGGCAAACGGGTACAAATTCGTGGATTCCGCCCCGTATCCGCTCTAATTGGGGTGGGGATGGGTATAATTTTAGTAGGTAGTGGGCGGGTGTGGATTTGGAAAGTAGTACCCGTCGCGGGTAACGGGTTTGAGACCTCACCCGCCCCACATCCGCCCGCCCAGCTAAATATCCATTAAATTTTTGACCATTATGAATTTAGGTGTAATTTTATAGACTAATTTATAAATCCGAATATTGTATAAGATATAAGTTGTTATTTAACCAAATATTAGGGATAAATTAAGTTTATGCATAATTTTTTTTCCTTTCAAACCTCTTATTGAGCCGATCTTTCAAGTTTCAAACCTCTTATCTCCACTCTCCACTCTCCACTCTCCAACTCAAGTATGTTTTTCTTTTTTTGAAGTTGTGGCCTTGATTGCTTTCTTTCAATCAGCTAGTCTAACAAATTTCCTTAATCTTTTTTCTTTTCCTTTATGAATTTGTAAATTGATTAACTTCTTTTATGAATTTTGATTTGGAATTTAGATTAAAGCGGCTTACAGAAAGAAAGCATGGGAGTCGCATCCTGACTTGTTTTCAGTTCAAAGAAATCCATCATTGTAGATTGGCGTTTTAAATCGTTTACTATCTAAATTATGGTACTTCTTCTGGACGAGAGCCAACATACTGGAAAACAAGTAGCGAATGCAATAAGAACATTAAGTCTTTCCACTTAGTTTAGTTTGCCTATCACACCTTAACCTTAATTTTTCTTCTTCTTCTGGGAACACTTGAATGAGATAATAGTTAGGTATTTTTAATCATGTATTCTGCAATTTAGAAATAATTCAATTGTGTTTACGGTTGTGACTCACAACCAAATTTACTGCTTTTCTTACTGTTAACATATAAATAGAGGAGTAAATGAATGTTCTACCCATATCTTTCACATTTATTTATGATAAGTAAATGCATTAAAGAGCTGCTATTTTAGGAGGTCTTAAATCATCTTAGTTTGCTTCGACAAAACTTAAATGTTCTCAGCTTTTGTTTTGGTTAAATTCGATGATATTTTCTCATGATTTTGATGGAATAGTTGAGTTCAAAGAATCATTGTTGTTGCAGGTAGTTGGTGGTGGGTGTGGATTTGAAAAATTTTACCCATCATGGATGGTGGACGGGTGGTGGATTGAAAAATATTATGTGGGTGGGGAGGGGTATCTACACCCGACCCGCCCGTTTTCGATCCCTACTCAGTGATTGCCTGCCTTTGTTCTTTTTCCTTGTTCCTTATACCTATACGAATATCTTTTTAGTTTCTTTTAATGAAAAACAATTCTTAAGAACTCTCTCTTAAGTCGATTAAACCAAAACTCAATCAAGAGTTTAAGACTCGATAAAAACATCCATATCTAATACAAACTATTAAAGAAAACAGCCCATACCTTATGCAAATACCCAACCCACATAAGAAAACCCCTAACAAAAAATTGTAATTCCATGACTATCGAAAATGTGATGTGTTGTATTTTAAATTGACAGCGAACTCATTTGGCCCCCAAGCACCCACTTTCAACCGCTATTACCATTTAAAATTAACTTGATATTCATTATCTCCAAGCATTAGATAAAACCTTATTTGATCGGCCATGTAATTGTAAGCAAGCTTGGATGAGTTGTCATATACTTATTTGATCGGCGGCTCGTGCGACGTTACCTATTCGTAGTCAATTGAAACAATCAGGTCTATCAGATGGAGTTTGTCTTTTATGCGACACGAGTGATGAGACGTTAGCGCATACTTTACGCTCGTGTCCCACCTCACAGAAGGTTATTTGTCTCGCTGGTTTTTCAGCTCGAATTTATCTTTGTACTGTTGATGATCGATTGTTGTGGTTGGAAGAATGTCTGCTTGTGTTGGGGATTGAACAATATGCTAATCTGATTACTCTTCTTTGGAACTTGTGGAATTGAGGTAACTCGTTTGTTCATGATAATAGGTTACAACCTGCTTGGATCCTTGTTGCTAATGCTCAGGTTATTCATCAAGATTTTTTGGAGGCTTCTTGCACGCATCGCCGTGGTAATGGTGATGGTGGTGTTGCTAGTTTAGATGAATTGGTGCATGCTGCATCTTCTTTCCATTGGTGTCCTCCAAATTCCGGTGTGGTGAATATCAATTTGGACGATTCGTTTGAGTCGGGTTCTTGTTGTATTGCAGTTGGAGTTGCGGCTCGTGACCACCTGGGGAGAATCTTGGGTGGTTTAGCTCAGGCTATGCACGGTATTGGTGATCCGGGTTTAACTGAGATTCATGCTTTTAGTGTTGTTTTATCCTTGGCTTGTGATGACGGATGGGAGAATGTACTTTTTGAATTTGATTGTGCTCAGTTGGTGAACAAATTGGTTCGTGATGATGAAAATTTCTCTGCCTAGACTTGTCATCTTTGACTAACAAAGTAATAATTTTAGACTCATCCTAATTTTCATATTTCTCTTATTCAACGATCTTATAATTATGTAATAGATACTTTGGTCAAATGAATTTTTATATCTTTATTTTCACTATTTTTTAACTTACTTTATCTTAAGATTATCTCTTCGACGTTATACGATTTATTTGAAACACTTTTTTTTCTCAACAAAGAAAAAAGAAACCAAGTTTTAAAAATTAACTGGCCCTAAGATTAATAAAGTAAGTTTAGTAATGAAAATCATTTGAGTTGAATCTCGATTTTCTATTAGTAAGTTTAGTAAGTTCAAATTTGAATGAATGGTCGATAAATTTAATTATTAAATTTAAATCTTAAAGATTTATAATATGATAAATTTAATTATTCGGATTTAAATAAATTAGTTCTCGTCTTGAATGTTGAATTAAATTGAATATCATAATAAATTAGCGTCTTCTATTAAAAAAATATTAAACAAAATATTAAACTTTTTTTTGGTGATAAAAGGAAAACTAAATACATCAAACAGTCACTGCCCCAGAAACATTGTAATCTAACTGCATGAGCGGCAGAACAAATAAAGGAGGGTCGAGGAGCTCGTGGACTGCAGTAACTTCAATGTCTATCATTTTCGCCAGTTTGTCTGCAACTTATTAGCTTCTCTACTAGTATGATAAATTTGAACGTTCCAATGTCGATCCAATAGATCAATAATTCTATCGTAGAGAGTGAAGGAGATACCTGCACAGCGCTTCTGCTTTAGGATTCGAAAAGCCTCAAGGCTATCCATTTCCAAAATTACTCTGCGCTCACCTAAGTTCCAAGCATGGACCAAACCCTCATCGAAGAGTAACCAACCATCCTTCATTTGCAGGTTCCCCACTCAGCTTATGGGATTCGCTCGTTTTAAGTAAGATAGGGTTAGCATTAAAACACGTGTTTTCATTACTTATTGTATAATATATAAAAAATCAAACAAGGAAAGGAAACTCAAGCTTTCTTTGGAGATTCTTTGTGTTCAACATCTTCTAAATTTGATTAAAATGTTATCTTAAACAAGAAAACCAAGGAATTTTCAGCTTGTCAGATTAGTATATATAATCCTTGCCCAGATTTCATGAATGATTCATCTCTACTTTCTATATTGGATTAAAATCTTTCTATTGCAGGTATTCTGTTCCACAATCAACAGTCTATACACGAACTTTGGATGCATATATGACTTGTTTTGAAATTAACCTATAATCATGAAGGTGTACAATGTCGGAATTTAATGATAGAGTATAGAGGGTCAATTTAAAATTTTAAAAATTTAGAGGTTTAAATTAAAAGTTTAAAAAAAATTAAAGGGTTCAATTTATTTTTTTTCAAGAAAATTGGAGTCTAATTAAAATTATTAAAAATTTGAGAGACTTAATAATTTTTTTAAAATATTATAGAAAGAGTATAATTAAAAATATCAAATCCTTTTAGAAAATCCCACCAAAATCAGGTGTTGACACCATTTTTCGTCCACCTCTTTAATTACTATTTTATTATTTTTATTATTAATACTATTAATTACATCTTTTGCAGGCCTAATTACAAGACTCGGAGCTCAAACAACAAACCCAAACGAGTCAGGCCCACATGGACAAACCATATAATCATTATGTTTCAATTTTGACTAACTCTAATTTTAGGGTTAGCCATTCGTGCCGTCATCGCCACCTACACCCTAATCTCCACGCCATCGTTGTTGCTCACTGTCGCTCCGTCGTCGCCTCGACCAGATTGCTCTGAAACTATCTTACAAATCGACCATTAACTCAATCAAAAGAAAAGACCAAAATTTAATTAAAAAAGCATATATATTTTTACTTGAATGAAGACGAGCAAAACAAGATTTGGGGTGTCAATCACAAAAAAATAGGTCACTTATGCCCTATCTTCTCAGCAATCACAAGAACAGAGCCATCAAGCAACATGTAACAACATAAAAGGGGATTTGAATAAAGAAAAAAATGTGTTTTTATCAAAATATTATAATATTACATGTCGACTCTGTTTCCTCAAATTTTACCGATCTAGCACCCTTTCTGATAAGGCACAATATGTGAAATGTGCATTTGTTTAGGTGGACCAAAGACGCGTTCCCTGAAAAACGCCTTCCAAGGGAAATGTTTATGTGGCATCACGTGGTAAGGCACGTTTCAAGGGATGCACCTTCCAAGGTCCACATCAGATTCCCT